TTTTTGAGAAAATATTCAGTTTAGAAATGCAGAGGCAGCCCCAGGGGCCTGGGGCATGGTCCAGGTGAGGCAGTGGTAGCCATTATTGGTGATTACTCAAACAGCATCCCAGAAGAAGCCCAGACTTCTGAGGACAGTGCAGCTGCCTTAAATCCTATGACCACAAGGCCCTGACCCCTAGTCCTAGCCAAGAGAATGCTCTAGCCTCATCCACTCCATGCCACAACATTGCTCTATGGCCGGGATGACCACAACAGTGGAAAACGTGCAAACTGGAGCTGCATCTGAGAGGGGCCACAGACAACTACACAAGCAGTGCATCAGATCTCTGTAAGCACATGAACTTCACTTGCTTCAGCACTCCTCTCCATTAGGGCAAAGTTTCCAGGATGGGGAGAAGGAAGAGCACACACTTAAAGGTAACAGAGTGAGCTTGAGCCCATACCTCTGGGCTTCTTCCCCAGGGACACAGGAGCAGACCTCACTCATGACAGGATGGAGATTACCACTGAGCAGATAGTAAACCCTGCTTCACACTCTGCACAGGCTCTCCAACACCAGCCACACTCTCTGTCAAGGTGTTAGTGGCTAGCACACCCTGAAGAAAGATGTTTCTGGCATCTACAACAAATCCAGCCCTCACATCAAAGACCTTGAGCAAATGCAGTCTACCGAAGAATTTTCCATGTAAAAACACCTCTTCAAGACCATAATAGATAACTCTTTCACCTAAATTCATAGAGACAGAGAAAGTTAAGTAAAATTTAAAAAATCAGAGGAGTCACTCTCAACTGAAGGAACAGGAGAAAAACCCTGAAAAGATAAATGATGAAACAGAGATAATCAGTCTATCAGAGGCTGAGTTTAAAAACTTGGTAATAGAAAGGCTAACTGAATTAAAAGAGAGAATTGATCTAAACACAGATCATTTAAATAAGGAACTCGAAACTATAAAGAAGACCCATTCAATAACAGACAATTCAATCTCTGAGATTAAAAAAAAAACACTCCAGAAGGAATAAATAGTCAACTAAATAATACAGAAGAATTCACAAGTGATCTGCAAGACGGAATAATAAGAATCACCTAATTAGAACAGCAGACAAAAAGACAAATAAAAAATGAAAGCAACATAGGCGATCTATAGGGTAACTTAAAACATGCCAATATGTGCATTATAGGGATTCCAGAAAAAAGAAGAGAGAGAGAAGGGGATTAAAAATGTGTTTGAAAAAAATTATGACTGAATACTTCCCAAACCTAATGAAGGAAACAGATATCCAGGTGCAGAAGGCACAGAGGGTCCTAAAGAAGTCCCCTAGACAGTCTCACCAAGAAGAAAAGAGACAGTGCCCAAATAAACAAAGTAAGAAGTGAAAGAGGTGACATAACAACCAATGCCACAGAGAGCACTATGAGCAGTTATAAGACAACAATTTGGACAACTTAGAAGAAATGGATACACTTCTAGAAGAACACAGCCTGCCAAGACTGAGTCAAGAAGAAACAGGCAATCTGAACAATCAATCATTAAAAGTGAAATAGCATCTTTAAAAAAAGAAAAAAAAAGCCTCCCAGCAAACAAATGTCCAGGATTGGACTGGATGGCTTCCCAGGGGATTGCTACCAAACACAAAGAAAAAGTCAGATCTATCTTTCTGAAACTATTCCAAAAAATTAAAGAGGAGGTAACACTCCCAAATTCTTCCTTTGGGGTCACTAATACCCTGATACCAAGAACAGACAAAGACACTGAAAAAAAAAAAAGAAAGAAAGAAAATTACAAGTCTGTATCTTTGATAAGTATATATGCAAAAATTCTCAACACAATATTAGCAAACTGCATCCAACATTATATAAAAAGGATCATACACTATAATCAAGTTGGATTTGTTCCATTGTCATAAGGATGGATCAATACATGCAAATTAAACAATGAGATACACTACATTAACAAAAAGAAGGAAAAAACACATGATAATCTCAATCTATGCAGAAAAAGCATTTGACAAATTTCAAAATTCATTCATGAATAAAACACTCATCAAAGTGTGTATAGAAGGAACATACATCAAATAATGAAGGCCATTTACAATAAACCCACAGCCAACAAAATACTGAACAATGAAAGCCTTTCTGCTAAATTCAGGAAAAAGACAAGGTTGCCCATTCTCATTGCGTGTACTTAACATAGCACTGGAAGTCCTAGTCACAACAATCAGACAAGAAAAAGAAATAAATTGTATTCAAATTGGAAAGGAAGAAGTAAAAGTGTCACCATTTGCAGGTGACATGTTAGCTTATATAGGAGCCACTAAAGTCTCCACTCAAAAACTATTAGAACTAATACAAAAATTCAGCAAGGTAGCAAGATATGAGATTAATGTGCAGAGATATGCTGTGTTTCCATACATAATAATGAAACATCATAAAGAGAGAAAGCTTTTTAAAAAAATCCCATTAAAAATCACATAAAAAATATCTAGGAATAAATTTAACCCAGGAGGTGAAAGATCTACACTTGAAAACTGTAAAACACTGATGAAGGGAATTAAAGATGATTCAAAGAAATAGAAAAATATCCTGTGCTTTTTGGATTGGAAGAAATAATATTATTTAAATGACCACAGTACTCCAAGCAATCCACAAATTTAAAGAAATTCCTATCAAAATACCTGGGATATTTTTCACAAAACCAGGGCAAATAATTGTAAAATTTATGAAACCACAAAAGACCCTAAATTGCCAAAGAAATCCTGAGAGAAAACAACAAAGCTGGAGGTATCACGCCCAGACTTCAGACTATACTACAAAGATACAGTAATCATAGCAGCAAGGTACTGGCACAAAAACAGACACATAGATCAAGGGAACAGAATAGAGACCCCAGAAATAAACCCACACTTCTATGTCAACTGATCTACAACAAAGGAGGCAAGAATATACAATGGAGAAAAGACAGGTTTTCAACAGATGGTGCCAGGAAAACTGGACAGCCACATGTAAAACAATGAGATTAGAACATTCCCTAACCATATAAAAAAAAAACTCAAAATGTTTTAAAGACTTAAATGTAAGACATGAAACCATAAAACTCCTAGAAGAGAACATAAGTGGAGCACACTTTGACATAAACTGTAGTTAATATTTTCTTGGATCAGTCTCCTAAGGCAAAAGAAATAAAAGCACAAATAAACAAATGTGACCTGGTTAAACTGAAAAGCTTTACACAACAAAGGAAACCATCAACAAAATGAAAACACAACCTATGGAATGGGAGAGAATATTTGCAAATGTTGTGAAAAACAAAGGATTAATATCCAAAATATACAAACAGAGCATACAACTAATTATCAAAAAACAAACAAATAACTCAATTTTAAAATGGACAGAAGACTTGAATAGACATTTTTTTCCAAAGACAGAGATGGCTAACAGACAAATGAAAAAGATGTTAAATATGGCTAAATATTAGAGAAATGCAAATCAAAACCACAGTGGGATCATTACCTCACACCTGTCAGTATGGTAATGGTTACCATCAAAACGTCTACCAATAATAAATGTTGGAGAGGATGTGTAGAAAAGGGAATGTTCATATGCTGTTGGAAGGAATGTAAATTGTGCAGCCACTATTGACAACTGTATGGAGGTTCCTTTAAAAACTAAAAATGGAACTACCATATGATCTAGTGATTCCACTTGTGGTTATATATCCAGAAAAAAAAACCCCACTAATTCAAAAAGATACATGCAATCTTTATAGCAGAACTATTTGCAATAACCAAGATATGGAAGCAACCCAAAGCCCCATCAATGGATGATTGGATTTAGGAGATGTGCTATACATTTGATTACTCAGCCATAAAAAGAAAATGAAATACTGCCATTTTCAGCAATGTGGATGATTCTAAAGAATATAATACTCAGTAAGTCAGAGAAAGACAAAAAATACTATATGATATCACTTAAACGTGAAATCAAAAAAATTATACAAATGAATATGTATGCAACACAGAAACAGATTCACAGACATAGAACACAAATTTGTGGTTACCAAAGGGGAGATGAAATGGGGAAGGGACAAATTAGAGGTATGGGATCAACAGATATAAACTTCCATACATAAAATAAATAAGCAACAGAGATACATTGTATAGTACATGGAATTATACCCATTATCTTGTATTAACCTATGATGGAATATAGCCTGCAAAAATACTGAATCATTATGCTGTACATCCGAAATGAACATAATATTTTAAATCAACTATACTTCAACAAACAATAAAAACAAATTTCAAAGTTTAAGTACTATATAAAGCTCTGAAACAAGCAAAATTTAAATATTTTGTTTAAGCTTCATATATGGTTTTAAAAATTCAAGGGAATGATAACCCACAATTCAGAGCAGTGGGAAGGTAGTGGAGTAGGATAGAGGAAACACACAAGTCATCTCAGTGGCATTAATAATTTTCTAGTTAAGTTGGGTGGTGGTTTTACAGCTGTGTATTATTTTGCTCCATAACTTACATTTACTTTTGTTTATAACAAACACTACAGACTATAATTATACTTAAAGACCTTTTTAATAACCCTAGCTCCTATCCTTCTGTCCAAGTAATTAGATTTCCACACATGTTCAGACCATTAGACCCTTGCATTTTCTGCAGTACCCTTTGCATAGAAAGCACTCAGATTGCCACTGTGACTTGTGTTCCCTGATGTCACTTGTAACAATCAGCTTACTTGTTAATTTTGCTCAGTTAACACTGGCAGTTACACTTTCTACCATTCATTCTCTTCCAGGCGAAAAGGATTTTGAATGTGATTGTGTATCTTCTAGATGTCAGATACTACCTGACATTTTCATTTAGTACCTTTAATCATTAAAGTTAATCTTGTGAAAACATTTTAATGTAATATTAATAACCCCTGGGCCTAGGGATTAAAAATGTTAGTTTTGAAGTCAGACATCTTGGGTTCAAATCTTGTCTTCATCACTTGGGAAAGTTAGCCTCATTACACTTCCATTTTCTCATTTATAAAGTGGAGGTAATAAAAAAAATTCACAGAGCTACCCTGTGGGAGTTTATACACTTGAACCACTTACAAGAGTGGTTGGCATCTGTAAGCTTTTAATTCATGTCGGTTATTATTTTGTGCATGTTAGATGTTTATTTTCTAAAATAAAGCTTTTAAAGAGGACGTCCACCCCAGCCCCAACCCTGAATCCTTTAAAAATTTTTGGAAAAAAGAGAACAGTTAAAAAATTATTACAAAAATGGATGAACCTAATACTTAAGCTAAGTAAAAGAAACCAGTTGCAGCAGATTATATGTTATGACTCCGCTTGTATGAAGAGTCCTTAAGAGACAGATTTATAGACAGAAAGCAGAACAGTGGTTCCCTAAGGCTCTGGGTAAGTGGAGGAAGTTAAACGAGGGCAATGGGAATGTTCTAAACCTGGACTGTGGTGATGATTGCACAGCTCCATAAATTTACTAAAATTATTGAATTATACACTTATAAAAGTTTTTTTAAAGAAATAGTTTCAGAGTTTTTACTTTAACAGAACTTTTATCAGGGTGGGTAAAATCTGATGAAACTCTCATATTTGAATGTAGTCACAAATCCAGTAATATATTGTTATATGTGGGAGGCAGAGACCAGATCATGCATTACTTGGGGAAAAGTTAATTTTGTTAAGCCTTGCTATTCAAAAATGTAGTATATCTTTCAAATTAAAAAAAAAGAATTGGAAAAAGAGGAATATTTAAGTTTGAATGGGCACTGTATTATTTTTTTTTCAATATATGTTTTCTTCTCTACTCAACTCAGTTTACAAAACCAACAACCTTGTCATCCAGGGAAGAATTATTACAGTATTGCTCCAAGAAAAAAAAAAGTCTAGGCACAGTGCCCATCAAGTTATGTATTATCTAAGAGAATTTAAAAATACCTGTGAAACATAAAAGAGAATTCTATCCTCTGACTACTAAACACACACCATCCCAAATCAAATTCCTAAAATAAAGTAAGAGAACAAAGTAAAACAAACAACATATTTGTAAATTCTGTCATATAAATTACACAACAAAATTTCTAACCATTCTTTTCCATTAAAGATTCAACTTCTCTTTCTGAAATTACTTTGACACTGGAATTCAGGTAAGATTTCTCTTGGTTTATTACAGTCTGCTTCCCAATTCACTAGCTTTTATTCAAATTTCTTCACTTTCTGACATGTGCTTTGCAGTAAGTTGATATTCATCTGGAAATAGTTTTCCTAGATTCTGACGATGTCTATGCCAGCAGCTGCAAGCTCGCTGAGAATACAGCAAATGTGCATGCACAGGACAAAATTCTTCCAATTAGGACTGCTGTTTAACTGGCAAGTTTGCTGTCAAGGGGCATGACCACTGCATTTTATTCAAATCTGAGTTCCATGGAAGTGTAGATATTTAAGAGCCTATTAGAGAATTTGCATAAGAGTTAAAAGAGAAAATAGATGTGTTTGAGGGAAACAAATCTGACTTAATTTTAACATTATTCTTTTCTTAAACTACCTGAGCAGTGTAGCAAGCTGGTTAAGTGTGTCAGCTCTGGAGTTAGAAATGGATAAGAATTCTAGTTATGCATCTTGGCAAGTCATGGGATTGTAGATAAGATTCTGAACCCACCTGAGCCTCACTTTTTCATAAAATGGAGATAAAGTATATCCATCCTGGGCTGTTTAAAACTGAAATGAAATGATAAAAATCAATCACTCAGCAGAGGGACCATCAGATAGTCAGTTCTCAGTGAATTGTGGCTGCTACAATCATCCAGACAAGGACAAGGAAACCGTTCTTGATTTCTTAATTCAATGGCATACATTATAGACTCAATAAATATTATTAAATTAAATTTTTTTTCTGTTTTAAATTTTACTTCAACGGATCTTAATGCCAGCTTATACTGAAATATTAATTTTTGAACTTTTATGCACGTATGTTGTACCTGGCTTCAGAATCCTTCCATTTGCTCTGCAAATATAATTCAGTTCTTTCTTTTCTTCCTTCCATACTGACTCCTCTTTGAGCCTTTGTGAATGTGATGCTGCTGATGGTGGTCAAGGTTTTTAGAAGCAGGAGCATCCACAACATTTCCTCATACAGTAGATTAATCATTAGGTTTTTTTTTTTCATTAGTTGTGATGAAGGACCATCCGCTGCCACAGAACTGTCATGATCTGATTTTACTAGTCTAATGAAGCTCTCGGTGCCTACTACACTGACGCTCCTTTCTCCACTGGGAGTTTAGATAATTAGTTAACAATTACTCAGACTTGATGGCAATTACTAGTCATCCCCTGACAGGGCTGTATTTCTCATCTAGCTGTTCAGACTTGGTGACCATCTCACCAAATGGAATTTCTAATGACTGCTGTTTTGATACTTAAGTGCTTACAATCTCAGCTGTCCTTCATATCTGTCTCTGAACTCTGAGTGCAAATCCTCAACAATCATCCCACACCAGTTCACCATTGCACACACTGTTACCAGCCTTTATATAGCAGAAGAAATACAGACATTGAAATGGCCTAAAATAAAGATCCTCATTTGCTTAATCATAAATGGGATGAAAAGCCACATTATTTGCTGATACAAAGCCCAGGTAAGCCAGACAGCAAAACCAAACCCCACAAGTTAATACAAAACTTGGCAGAATTTCCCAGAAAGGTTGTCTGCTGTGTCTTGTGAACCTAGGACCATTAGCATTATCAAAATTGCTGTGACTTCCAAAGAAATCAGGAGGACAGGAGCCATCTTCTGTGTCTACCAGCGAGCATAGCCCAAGTGCTGCCTCATTCTAATGTAAAGAATAGATAATCATCCAACATATTTTTCCATAGATGTTTACTGGTCCTGTCTTACCGAAAACTATAGAAAGATCTAAATGAGCATTAAAAACTATCTTAATAAAGAGAAAAGAGCTAACAAGTAAATCCCAAGATAGAGGGTGGGGGTGCTGAATAGGTTTGTGTGAGGAACTATGACTATTGAGCTCCCCATTTCTGTCAACCAGAGCGTTTCTCAAGAATTTAAGAATGTTTTTCTTCTCTAAAAAACTCAATGTCAGAGAAGGGTAGAGGAAAAAGATGAGTGGAAAATTCATACATTGTATTTAGATCCCCAAAGTACAGGGTGTATTGGCAATGGTTACACCTTTGATATAAAACTACAATGATAGATAGAGAGTGGGTGGGTAAGTAGGTAGAGAGAGATAGATAATTATTGCTGGAACAATTGGAATTTTTCTTTGTCGTGATTTTTAAGTGAATTATCTTAAAGAATTTCTAAAACAAGTTTGCATGTTGGTGCATTTTCCATTATTTTACCAAGTGATAAATGATGCTCTTCTTAAACAAGCTTGAAAACCATTTTAACTTAATCAATAGTGACTTAGAATCTTCAGACCCTCCTGCAGCATTCCTACAACTGTCACCAGATAACATTATAAATAATCTATGCAAAATTTAATCCTTTCAAATATACCTGGAATACCATGTGATACTCTAATAGTGTTCTCAATTTATTATATGTGATAATTGGTCTTTTGGGATCTGAGAGTTATTCTTAAGGAAATTGTAATGATTTATATTATTTCTCAACCTTATCATATAAAGTCCAACTATAGATTATATATAGAAGCAATAAACCTTATTTTTTGGCCCAATATTAGTTAAGACTTTTTCCCAAAGAAAATTCTTCCTTTTGAGCGATTAATATTGTAGAACTTCTAGGGTTCACCCTATTCATTATTTTCTACAATTCCATGCTTTCCGTTCTGCTTTATAAAATCACTCAGACTGTATTCAACTATCCACACTTTTATTCTACAAGAGTAAAAAAAATATACCCCATTTAAAACATCAGACAGTGGATTGCGATAAGACCAAGACAATCATGGTGCTCCTACTGCCTTCTGCAGCAATTAACTGATTTGAGTATGTGATTCTGATCAAAGAGACATAAGGACAAATCTGATGAGATTGGTTAAAAGAGGTCTTCTCTTTTAATAAGGAGCTAAAGTAAGAGTCAACACTTCTTTGTACTTTGGCTATTGTCCTACTGAGATGTGATACCTACAACTGCTGGGAGTAGTTAAGGGTAAAGCCATCTAATAGAGGAGGGTAATTCTCTGACATTTTGGACCCGGGGCTTATATATTTCCTTCGATGAGGTAATTAATTTCTTCATTATTCAAACCAGTTTCAGATGGGCTTTATTATAATTTAAAAATGCAAATTGTTGACCTTTACAATTCAGTAGAAACTGCAAACACTCAAGAGATCACATTTAGGCTAGCTGCAGCAGAAAACAAATTGGATGATGGAAGTGAACATTAGCTACAATAAGGAACTAAGAAGCACACTTGGCAAATTCAGTGACGCTACCATTTGTAAGTGTTTGTGTCACTTCTGTTTCAAGTTAAAAGTTAAGACGCTACAGGAATACCTATATTGTGGCATGGTGGTGATAATTTATTTATATCCATTAATTAAGATTGATTTTAGTTCAACTCTCATTCAATAAAATATATCAAAAATTAAATAAGATTGGATTAAACATTCAGATATAATTTAGACTGTAAGTTCCTGAATGCTACGAACTTACAGTCTAACAAAATGCCATCAGATTATAATTACTCAAAGATGTGCCAATAACTATAAATGCTACAGGAGTACAAGGTTGTAAATGAGAGATGCAGAAGTCTGTGAAAGTGCCATGTAAGGGGTAGATGTTAGACACTGGAAAGTGAAATGCTCACTACAATTTGTAATACATGACATGAAGGTGTGAAAAGCAGAACACTGTGAAAGAAAGTATCTCATGATACAGAAGTGCTTCTTGTCAGTTTCTACAAATAAAATCAGTATTCTCCCAGTCATACAGTCTGGGAGTCACTTCTCTCTTTTCTTGCTTTATTATAGATGATTTACTGAATTATTTCAGTTCTCACTCTATGATGTCTTTCATTCTTCTTTGTTTCCACTACAGCAATTTTTCCCGTTACAGAAAGCTTCCTAGCTAGCTTCCTAACAAGTTGATGTTTCCACTGTGTATGACTTCTTCTGAAGACTCTCAAACAATATTTCCAAAATATTCATTTTAGCTTATTTATTTCTACTCAAAACCTCCTATGAATCCCTACTGCCTACAGGTAAGGATATAGAGACAAAATAAATTGTCTTTATATTAAATTCTTTATAGTCTGGTAGGAAATTACAGAAAAAGAAAACACAAAGGTAAGTTCAATAAATTATTAAAGAGTTTCTGATAGAAGCTTGCTCCTCATAGAAAGTATCTTTGTGATTGATAAAATTAAAGTCTTTATCCAGGAGGGAGTGCCAAGATGGCAGAGTAGAAGAACACTCTTAGCTCACTGTCTCCCACAAATAAACCAAGAGAGACATCCTTGGACCCACCCATTCATTCAGAACATCTGCTGAACTTTGACAGAACACCTTCTTCAAAAGACAAAATTCCTCACAAATTCTGGTAGAAGAATGCAATTATTTTAATTCAATTTTAAAAGGGATTGATTCTTTACTTTTTTTGTTATTTTATTGTTAGTGTAAAGAAATGAAACTGATTTCTATATGTTAATCTTGTATCCTGCTACCTTGCTGAAATCTTTTATCAGCTTGAGTAGTTTTTGTGTGGAGCATTTAGAGTTTTCTATATATAGTATCATGCCATCCACATATAATGACAATTTTACCTCTTTTCTTTTAATTTGAATCCTTTTTATTTCTTTTTCTTGTCTAATTGCTATGGCTAAGACTTCCAATACTATATTGAATAGAAGTGGTGAGAGTGGGCATCCTTGTCTTGTTTCAGATTTAGCAGGAAATTTTTCACAGAACTAGAACAAACAATCCTAAAATTTATATGAAATCACTAAAAAAATACCCAGAATTGCAAAAGCAATACTGAAGGAAAAAAAATGAATAAATAAAGCTGGAGAAATAACCCTCCCAGACTTCAGACAGTACTACACAGCTACAGTAATCAAAACAGCATGGTATTGGCAAGAAAACAGACCATCAGTGGAACAAAATAGAAAGCCCAGAAATAAACCCACAAACTTTTGGTCCATTAATCTTTGACAAAGAAGGCAAGAACATACTATGGAGTAAAGATAGTCTCTTCAGCAAATTGTGTTGGGATAACTGGACAGCTGCATGTAAATAAATAAAGTTAGAACACTCCCTCACACCATACACAAAAATAAACTCAAAATGGATCAAAGGCTTAAACATAAGACAAGATAAAATAAACTTCCTAGAAGAAAACGTAGGTAAAGTATTCTCTGACATAAATCTTAGCAATGTTCTCCAGTCTACCCAGGCAATAGAAATAAAAGTGAAAATTAACAAATGGGACCAAATTAAACTTATAAGCTTTTGCACAGTAAAGGAAACCATACGCAAAACAAAACAACAACCTATAAAATGGGAGAAAATATTTGTAAATTATGTGACTGAGGAAAGTTTAATTTCCAGAATATATAAGCAGCTCATACAACTTAATAACAAACAAAAAAGAAAAACCCCAAAATGGACAGTGACCTAAACAAGCAATTCTTCAGTGAAGACATACAAATGGCCAATAAACACATGAAAAAATGTTCAATATTGTAATTATTAGAAAAATGCAGATCAAAACTATAATGAGGTATCACCATGAACAATAAATACTGGAGAGGGCGTGGAGAAAAAGGAAGCCTCCTATACTGCTGGTAGGAAGGTAGTTTAGTGCATCTATTATGGAAAACAGTATGACGTTTCCTCAAAAACCTAAAAATAGACTTACCATATGATCCAGAAATCCCACTCCTGGGCACATATCCAGAGGGAACCTTAATTCAAAAAGATACATGCACGCCAATGTTCATAGCAGCACTATGGACTATAGCCAAGACATGGAAACAACCTAAATGTCCATCAGCAGATGACTGGATAAATAAGCTGTGGTATACTTATACAATAGAATACTACTCAGGCATAAAAAAAGAATAAAATAATGCCATTTGCAGCAACATGGATGGACCTAGACATCGTCATACTAAGTGAAGTAAGCCAGGAAGAGAAAGAAAAATACCATGTGATATCACTTGTATGTGGAATCTAAAGAAAAGGAGAAAAGAGGACACTAATGAACTCATCTACAGAACAGAAACAGACCCACAGACACAGTAAACAATCACGGTTACCTTGGGAAAGAGGATGGGAAGGGATACATTTGGAAGTTTGAGATTTGCAAATGTTTGCCACTATATATAAAAATAGATTGAAAAAACAAAATTTTTCCTGTATAAGACAGGGAACTATATTCAATATCTTGTAATACCCTTTGATGAAAAAAGAATATGAAAATGAATATATGTATGTATATGCATGACTGAGACATTTTGCTGTACACCAGAAATTGACACATTTTAACTGACTATACGTTAATAAAAACAATTAAAAATAAAGTCTTTATGCAGACAAAACTACGCACTAACCCTCTCTATCCAAAGCACTTTGCACTTCTTCATCACCATACCTTCCCATAAAACATTTCTCTCCTCTGGAAAATTCACTTTACCCAATTTATTAATTAATCCTTAAATATTATTCAAGGCTTATTTAAAGTTTATCTTTCTCCACATTTTATGGCCTCTTACTCTTAAAATTGATTCAACAATCCCCTTTCTAGCTGTTCCTTATGCTAGAGAGCGTTGCACTTCAGAGAACAGCTTGTTGTATTTATAAACAGTTTGAATTATCATCATGAACTTGCTTAAATGGAACCAAAATTCACTTTTCTCTGTTCATTTTAGTAGAATGTTATAATGCCACAATAAATAAAATAAATTTTCTTGTATATAGCAATCAATCAGATATCTGAAAATATTATGACATTCTCATATTTTCTCTTTCCTAGGCAAACTATCAATAACAGATTTTTTTTCTCAAATGATGTTCTTTCTAGAATCTTCACAGTTTTATTGTTCTTACTATAGGAATTAATTATGGAATGGTTAACATTTCTCCTAAAATGAAAACATAATGTCCAAGACATCTGTTTTTGACTATGTTTGTTGAGCTTATCCCACTACAACTGTTTCGAACATGACAAGTAGGAAAACTCAATAAAGTAATTTATATGCCACTTACTTCAAGATTTTAGTTTCCCAAGAAAGCATTTATTAACTTTCATCACCCACTCATTATTTTTCAAAAGTCTTTGCAAAATGGAAATAAAAGAAAATTTTCTTAATCCCTTAAAAGGAACCTACAGCAAAATAACTACAGCAACTATTATACTTTCAATGATGAAATATTGAAAGTTTTCAATCACACATCAAAAAATGGTCAAGATCCAATAACATTATTTTCACCTATTTTTGTACTGGAAATCCTAGCCAGTGAAGTAAGTGGAAAGAAATGTAAAGAGATGTAAGTATAAGAAAAGAAGAAATAAAATCATCAATATTCACAATTTTATTATAAACACAGAAAATCCAAAATAATACAAATAAATAAGTACACTTAGAAAGTTTATTGCAAACAAGGACAATTTTAAATGTTAATTATACTTTTTCTATAGCAGCTACTTATATTTTAAATATATTTTAAAATATTAACAACTATAATACTGAAAACATCAAATATCTAAGAAGTATAATAGAAGAAAACCCAACAAACAGTAAATCATAACATATTAAAAAAATCCATGAACTGCCTCTAGTCTATCATGTTTATTGATTGGAATAAGCAAAATTATAAAAAATATTCTCTTAAATGTATCTCAATTCAGTGCAGTCAAGGTCAGAATCTTAAGCAACTTGTGTAAATGGTAGATGCGAAAATTGACAAGACAATTTAAAAATTTATTTGAAAGAAAGGAGTGGCCAACATGGCAGAGTAGGAAGGCCCTGAGTGCCTCTCCTCCTACAGGCACATCAACATTCACAAAGCAGCTATCAAGAACGTCCTGAAGCCTAGCAGAAAGAACTTCCAACTAAAAATGTAAAGAAGGAACCACAGTGAGACAGGTAGGAGTGGTCGAGACATGATATAGCCAAGACCTATAGATCCAGGTTAGTGACTCACAAATGGGAGGATAATTACAATAACAGAGGTTCATCACAAGGAGCAAAGGGCTCAAGCCCCACATTGGGTTCCCTAGTCTGGGGCTCCTGCAGCAAAAGGACAAAGCCCCAGAATGTTTAGCTTTGTAGATCAATTGTGCTTATTTTCAGAAGAGTGAGAGGGCTGTAGAAAATAGAGACTTCAATCTTAAGAAGGGTATGCAGAATCTCACAGCCCAAGGACAAAGGCAGAAGCACTAATTTTAAAGGACCCTGGGTCAGACCCACTTGCTGATCTTGGAGATGCCCCTAGAGAGGCAGAAGGCCACCAGGACTCACTCTGAGGATATAGATGCTGACAGCAGCCTTTTGGGGGAGCTTATTCTACCATGAGCACACTGATGCTAGCAAGCAGCATTTTGGAGTCCTCTCTCAGTTCCACCCACCAAACAGGCACCACCAGTTCTGCGACACTGTGGGCCAGGCAGCTAACTGGGCAGGGACACAGTCTGAGCTCTCAGCAGGCAGGCTGCAGTAGGACCCCCAGAGGCCCCAGTCTGTCCCAGGAACATGCCCCACCCACTAAATCTGGGACTCCCAGAGCCCATAGCCAGAGACCTTAGGATCCAGCTCTACCCACCTAAGGACCAGTGCTAGCACCAGAAAACACTGGGCTCCAGATCAGCCCACCAATGTGCTGACACCAACTCCAGGGAACACCAGATCCCATAGTCACAGATCCTAGGACTCTACTTCACCTACCAGTGAGTGGGCACAGCCCAAGGAACCCCTGGGACCTAGCCCTCCCCACCAGTGGGCCAACACCAACTCTCAAATCCCCGGGCCCTTACAAACAAAGGCCTGGTGTCTGGATCCACTCACCACACACCAGCTCTAAGGTTCCCAGGGCCCACAGATAAAGACCCCAGGACTTGTCTCTACAAACCAGTGGTAAGGCACCAGCCCTGCGATGACCTGGGCCCTGTTTCCACCTGTGATAAGGGCAATACCAGCTCTGGGACCATCGAGCCCCTCAACCAGCTGCCCCAGGAGCAGGCCTAAACCACACGTGTGCAGAAATCAGCTCTGGGAGACAGCAGACTCCACAGACAGCCCTGACAGGAACCAGCCCAGCCCACTTTCAGGCCATCACCAGCCCCTCCTCAGGATGCAACAGGCCGTAGTTTTTCCCACAGTCAGGAGAACACTGACTCTGAGACCCCCAGCACCACAGCCAGCCTCCCCAGGACTCGGCTCAGCTAGCCTGCGGGCCAACATGACAGCCCCATGACACCACGGGGCTCCACAGCCAACCACCTCATGTGCAGTCCTGCCCCCCAGCAGGACTACACCACCCGGGCTGCAGCCAGCCTTGTCAGGACCTGGCCTTGCCCACCAGCCGCCAGCAAGCTCTGCACTAGAAAGGGCCTGGCAACCTGTTCTTTCTTATGAAAGAAAAAATTCTCACTTGTAAAGGTAAATACACAGTAAAGGTAGTAGATCAACTATTCATAAAGCTAGAAGGAAGGTTATAAAGGAGTAACATCATCTCTATCCACAGTCAGTAGTTCAGGGATATATAAAACAAGATGATGTAAAATATAACATCAAAAACATTAAACATGTAGAGGGTAATATGCAAGATTGTTACAATGCATTCGAGCTTAAGAGATCAGCAACTTAAAATAACCATATATGTCTATACACATAACTATATATAAGCCTCATCGTAACCACAAACCAAAAATCTATAATAGATACACACACAAAACAAAGAAAAGAATCCAAACCTAACACTAGGCATTGTCATCAAATCACAAGGGAAATGAGCAAAAGGAGAAAGAACAGAAGAGAACTACAAAAACAACCATAAAACTGCTAACAAAATGGCAGTAAGTACATCCCTACTGATAGTTACTTCAAGTGCAAATGGAAAATGTTTAAATCAGAAGACATAGACTGCTGATTGGATGCAAAAACAAGACCAATATATATGCTGCCTACAAGAGACTCACTTCAGGTCTAAAGACACAAAGATTCTGAAAGTAAAGAGATGTAAAAAGGTATTCCACGTAAGAAATGAACAGAAAGCCAGGGTAGCAATACTTATATCAGACAAAATAGACTCTAAAACCAAGACTGTAACAAGATCAATTACATAATGAGAAAGGGACCAATCCAAAAAGAAGATATAACAATTGTAAATATATATGCATGGAACATAGGAACAGTTAGATAAAAAAAGAAATATTAAAAGGCATAAAGGGACAAATGGACAGTAGCACAGTAATAGTAAGGGGCTTTGACACAACACTTGCATCAATGGATGGGCCACTCAGAGGGAGAATCAATGAGAAAACATTGACCTTAAATAACTCATTAAACCAAATGGACTTACTAGATATTTACAGAACACTTTATCCAAAAGCTATGCAATACACATTTTTTCAAGTGCACATGGAACATTCTCCAGGATCAATCACATGCTAGTTCAAAAAACAAGTCTGTAAATTTAAGAAGATTGAAATCATATATTTCCAAACACAACGCTGTGAGAACAGAAATCAACAAAGAAAAATCTAAACCAAAAAAAAAAAGTTTGTGTTTTAAACAACATGCTACCAAGTAACCAATGTATCACTGAAAACATCAAAGTAGAAATCAAAAAATATCAGAAGATAATTAAAAAAAAACACCACAAGATCCAAAATCTATAGAATGTACTAAAGGCAGTTCTAATAGGGAAGTTTGTAACAATAAAGGCTCACCTCAGGAAATAAACAAACAAAAAATCTGAAATAAATAATCTAACCTTATGCCTAACTGAAGTACAAAAAGAAGAACAGCAAAACTGAAAGTTAGCAAAAAGGAAAAAATAAAGAT